AAACAAAATGGCCGCCAGTCGGCTATTTCGAACTTGATCCGAAAAAAAAAATGACGTGCATCAAGGTCTATTATGTTTAATGTATGTACCAAATTTGAATGAAATCCGTCCATGCATAACTGAGATCCGGGTCCGGAATGGTGAAAATGTGCGATTTCAATGCATTTTCGGCCTTAAAGCGGCCGCCATTTGGCTATCGTTAATGAGATCATGAAACAAATGCACATACATATTTGTGACATGATGTACCTTGTGTGTGTGAAGTTTGAACTCGATCAATCCAGGCATGTCTCGGATACGGATCAAGAACTGATTTTTTTAAAACAAAATGGCCGCCAGTCAACCATTTCGAACTTGATCCGAAAAAAAAAATGACGTGCATCAAGGTCCTATTATGTTTAATGTATGTACCAAATTTGAACAAAATCCGTCCATGCATAACTGAGATCCGGGTCCGGAATGGTGAAAATGTGTGATTTTGATGCATTTTCGGCCTTAAAATGGCCGCTATTCGGCTATCGTTAATCGGATCATGAAAAAATGCATGTGCATATGTCCCATATAATGTGTGATGTATGAGTGAAGTTTGAACTTAATCGGTCCATGCATGTTCGAGATACAGGTGATCACGGACGCACGGACGCACGGACGGACGGACGCACACAGGGCAAAACATAAGTCCCCGTTTTCGGACTGCGTCCGAACGGGGACTAAAAATGTATACCAGCAATGACAGGAGGATTTTTGATGTCTTTTTATTTTCAAAATCTTGGTAACTAACCTGATCCGGTACCTCCACTTAGGCTATGTAGTAAGACGGTGCCTGAGAAGGATTCACATCGTTCTATCTCTTTTCTAAGAGACTCAAGAGTTTTATTCAGTAAGGAATCGTCAGCACATTCTGGTTCATGTCTGGTTCCATGGTAACCTGAAAATATCCAAAAACATGTAGAGTTGGTTTAGTAGTAACATAAGCTGTTATCAACATAGACAAATAATCAGTATGCATATTTCATCAAAATTTGGAACTCAAAATTTCAAAAATTCTCAGCAAAACGTAAAGCTGATTGAATTAAAGAAAATGTAAAAAAAAAATACATGTATTGCTTTATAACACATATATGTTGATTCAATGTGACAAAGCCATGTCATATTTTCCTATCACATCCTATTGGCTATTTGAAGTTGTGATGTTATCAACTGACAATCGTAAAAGACACCAGCCAAAATGTACCTCAATATGAAAAAGTGTTTTTTTATTTAAATAACTATAACCTTGAAACTAAATATAAATGTTTCTGCTATATACTAATATTTCAGACATCCATCAAAAAATGTTTTTCATTTTAATTCTGTGAATGTCTAATATTTTTTCCATCGAAAGTTTGGGTTGAATTTTCTGGTTCTGATCAAACTTTTGAAAATATTTAAAAAACTATACCGGTTTATTTTGACAACAATTTGAATTTGTTTCCTCCAATGTTCCAATTACCATTTTTTGATGTGGCATGTCTAGGAAATTAATTACTTGTTAATTTAGTAAAAATGTTATTAAAATGTCCTTGTAAATAATATACAATCAGAGGTACATTACTTGGGGTTTGCAACTACGGTGACATGATACCAAGATCCCGTTACAATCTCGCTCTCGCATAAGCGTTCCAACTCAGAAAAATGCGAATGCGCATGCCCAAGGTAACTAGGATACTGGGATGTCCAGGTGGATCAAAATAGCTGCCCACGATATGACGGATTACGAGAACTATATTTTCTGTACATTTTCGATGTATTACATTTTTCACTATGATAGTGGCAAGAAAAGTTTTATTTTTTCATTACAAACCTTGAACATTGATATGTGTCATGTCAGAAGGTCGTAGCCTCAGTCTCGTTATCTACGAGATGAGACTTCAATGGGATCTTGACATGATGTCACCATACAGTACTATGCGAGTTGCAAACCCCAAGTAATGTACCTCTGATACAATATAATATAAATAACAAATATTCAAACATAGATGATATATTCACAGTAACTTGTAGGGAAGACCATGATACAAAACCATGATCATTACGTAGAAAATCAACTCTGGTGTGCAATAACAAAAAGTTTATTGAGTTGGCTCAGGTAATGAAAAAATTTAAATTCAGAAAATGGTAGAAGGTACTAGTAATTGTGGTCCAGAGTGTCATATTTATCGGTCCTAGCAGCTTTTTTGTATTTTTTTAATCAAAACTTAGAAACTTAGAACTTGTGACATTGAATTTATTAAAGCGAGGTGGTCGTCACGCAGCGTGTGTCCGAATTTCATGTAAATAAACAATACACACGTTGTACACGTTGCTATGAGTCCCATATCGAACAGGATGTGACACGACGACTGTCGTCCTTTAAACTTTTGTGTCAGAAATCTTCTCATCAAAAAACTAAAACAAATGCATTACTATTACACTCATTTTAGAAAGCTGATATCGGGCCAACATATAAATGGCTTTCAAATCAATTAGTCTGTTGACTTATAAAAAAAAATACATGGTAGCTTACCTAGTGCCCAGTTTGTCCCTCTTCCTCGTTTTCCAAGTATGATGTTAGAATCTCGAAACCAGCTGCAGGGAGCACAATAATTATTGGTCATTTCAATAGTTCTTCTAAAAATATATTTTGTTGATGTTGATAACATGAGATTGTCACAAGATTACAGCAAAGTATGCACAAAAGTAGGATGATCATATCAATTAACATGTTTGGAAGGTTGATGTGATCCTGTTCTACCTGAGTACATACTTTGCGGTATCCTTGTGATAACTTTATTATTATTATATTTTTCCTGCTTGTACAATGTTTTAACAACTCAAAATGACAACTGAAAACATTTTGTGTTGTGCGAATTTTTGCGAACAGTGATGGAATTCTATTTCCATCACGTTTCTGCATCAGATGTTTTAAAACCCACTTTCTGATTGAGGCACTCTCACAATGCAACATGACTAGCATTGCAAACCATCCCAATGAACACCAATTACGGCACCATAAAACTAGAAATACTCAGAATCTACACTATTTGGAACAATCGAATACATCCATTATGTACGAAGCAACAGTTTGATCTGACAGATGATAAAGTAATGTCATCGGTTGTATTCCATCCAAAAAAAAAAGAGGGTCCATGCCAAATTGAGACCATATGTATACAAATAACCAGGGTTTTTTCTAGAAAAAAACTGCAAGAGGGAGCACTGCAATTCAGCGGCGCCACCAAGTAGGGGAGATAGGGTTCTCCCTACCAGGGTGTGGAGTTTTTGATAATTCTAAGTTAAGCTGAAGCATTGTATGGCTTCCTTGGGCCCAAAATTACTCTCAGACAGGTCACAGTTGAATTTTATTGTTACCAGAGGATCTGCTTCCCAGGGAAAGGGGGCGCATGGCCATGGCATGAGGACACTGCGCACATGTTCCCTTATTTAAAAAAATCCCTGAATAACCACTATCAATCTCTAGTGACTACCTGAGTTCATGACTAATTTCTGCTAAAAGGTTCTAGTGACCCCCTAAGTTTGTGATTAATTTCCAGCTAAAATTTCATAATATATAGAAAAAATTACCTTTTCTTTGTATCTTGTAGTAATGATCTTACAACTTTGGGTTCACTGTCTACATTAATAGATCTAAGTTTTCTATCTCTGGTATGGAATACATAACTGCAAATCAAATAAAAAGTGTAATTATATATTATTATTTAATATTGTCTTTGTTCAGCTGGGTAAAATATGAGTAACATAAAAGCTGTATATAATACTAGCAGTTCTATATGCAAGTTATAAAGAACTTTCTTCAGTTGAACGATGACAACTTTCCTCAGTTAAACAATAATATTGTTATAACAGTCATGTTTGTAGTTACAAGTAACGATAATTTGTGGGTCTTTCATCGTTTTACTTGATTTTCTTTGTTGACAGCATCACGAAACTTGTGATCTTGACTCTTGAAAGTAAATGACTTATGCAAAGAGTTGTGCGGCCAGCCTGTAATATGCACACGGGATTTGTATAATATAACATGACGAATGTTATTATGTCATTAATAACCATGAAAGAGAGAGTGTCGTCACCTGCGCATATGTGGGAATTGAGTCCCAGGAGATGATAACAACACACTCTAAAAATGCAAAGGCTCATGGGTAGACGCTTGTTTGTAAACAATGACACGCTATGGCCATCTGACGCATGCGCAGGCGACGATTCCCTTGTTTCAACCTTCGAGAGCCACCAATATACTATTTTAAAAATATTGTTCAAAATACCATACTGTGTGTAAGAAACCACAGGCGCTTGGAACGTTTCCTGGATATACTCATATACTCATATAATAACATAAGGTAGGAAAGCGAGCATGCGCAGTTCCAAACATATACGCATGCTCGGGCCTCTGCCTCAAAATATCCGCGTAGATGGGTTTATTCATATTGCTCTGGTGTTTCGATTTTCACAGGATTTAACCCGTTTTAGTTTGAATAAAGGTAATGTAAGTCGATCAATAGTTTCTACCGATATCATGCTTGAGTTGTATGAAGCAGATCAAAATATAATTTGAAAAATAGTGTTATTTTCGGGAAGTTTCGATGTCATGGTGTCAACGCTTTCCTACCTTGTGTTATTATATGAGTAGTAGGGGAATGTACCGGCGACTGACTAACTATGCCGATCTCACTTTAGGTCATTTTTTATTATCCAGGAAACGTTCCGAACGCCTGTGTAAGAAACATAACATTACATACCCTACTAACAATGATCAGACGTGCATTTGGCATCACACATTTTCATTATTGGTCATATTTTGCATGATTTTACTACCATATTTCTAAATATACTTTTCATGGCTAGTTTTTTTTTTTCTGCTATAAAATTAAATATTAAAAACTCACTCAAGCATATTAAGTTTAATTCAAAGTCTAATTACAGAAACTAGTTAAGTTCCAACCAAGGTATTAGTATGTGATAATGCAGTTTATCAGGTGAAGTGTGTAACAGCTGTAGCAAAATAATTTAGTAAGTGATCTGAGGCATTCTCCATTTTTTATTATAGATTGTTTGTCTAGAAATGATGTGCTACCTTCTCAGCCTTGAATTTAACCTTTTGAAGGCCCTAATTATTCCAGCCCTAACTCTAACTCTACCCTCCAGCATTCCCCAATTTGATTGTATTTGCCTTTCTAAGGACACCTGTAGTTATCTATAGTTATCTAGAAAGGGCAAAGACAATTGAATGGGAGGATAAGAGAAAGAGGGTTAAGGCTAGGGTTAGGCATGGGGTTAAAAAATAGCTCTTTTCAAAATAGAAAAGGGAGGGGGGGGGCTTAAAAAAGAAAGTCTTGTCTCTCAATTGTATTTGTATGTATATGTTTTAAGCCCAGGAATGGGCCAGGGAGGGGTGCACAGCGTGTGAGGTATGAATTATGGGTATTTTAACGCTTTTAACACAATTTGACCACAGTCTCTCTATCTAGGGACTGTGATTTGACCTACCGTACATAGAGGCTTATCAACCTGCGGCGAAGCGTAGAGGGTTTTTACTACGGTCTTCGTCGTGAATTGACAAGCCTCTATGACCTACCCAGTATTTTTTCTATCTTTCTCAGCCATCTTCCAAAATTGTTGTCCGATTTGGTTTCCACATTGTCCGACTTGTAGAAAGACTGTAGACATTCTGGATTAATCAACGACGACCAGCAGCACCACTTGTTCAAGTTCATTAATGACTGAAATAAAGCTTCGTGTTCGTGGTTGACCTGAATTTCGTACAACCTCGCAAAATTCAAATCAGCCGCGACATGTCGGTTCGCGATTCACAGACAAATGGCTGTTTCCAATAACATAAACCGGAGTATATATTCGATACCAAAGTACCCAAAGTACAAATCGTTATTCAAGATTGTAATCCTGAAACACGTGACATTTCTGAAATCCCATCCATACATAAACATCAGCCTCCAAGAATATTTACCAAACATGCAGCGAGATTCATATTTTGGTCAATTACTTCCTGGTGATGGCGCTATGTCATTCTCCGCATTTTGTCGACAGAGGGCGGTACGCTAACATATTTCGTACGTCATGGTGCAGGTCTGTTCACAAGGGAAGGAAGGCGTGAAATTTGATGAAGTGTCACTCTTTTTTCAGATGCAAGTAACAGGCATAAACAATATAATGGTATACACACAAAAAATATATAATTCTCAACAGCACAAAATAGTCCAAAACTATCTTTTATTTTAATAGCTTTGTTAATATCAGTAGCATTATGGTTGAACGACCTTTATTGACAATGTTCACTTATTTCGTAATACGTTATCAATCACCTTCAATTTTTGCTACGTTGTCTATGTACATTGACTGTAATTGCATTGTGATCATGAACTTGTTTTCCTTGTGCAATGTTCGTTTAATCATCTCCGGTTATGTAAGTAATGTTCACTCCACCATTATAAGTGTTCTTATTAATCTAATGTAGAGGAAGCTACATCAACTTTTCATTGACTTGGTACAATTGTTTCACACTAATTGAAACTTTCTCATCATTATTACTGTTGTAAGTAGACAACATAAAACGTGCATCCAATATTATGCAACTCAACTCTGGTAGTGCAGAAATAGACATTTATATTATAATGGTGGATCAAATGGGAACAAACCATTTTCTTAATCATGATGTTTTCGTCCAATGAGTGCAATATTGAATTCAACTTGGTTATAATTTTAGTCTGAGAGCAAAATGAAATTTCATCTTATCGCCATCTTAATATCGATTGCACTTGGTGCATTAATACCATCAAATCACCCTCATTGCGTCTAAATAAAGTAGAAAAGTATGTTGTTGTTTTTATTTTGAACGTCACTCTAAATATCACATGAGCACAGTATGGATATTGTGAATATTACAGATTTCGAGCTCAATACGTTATTAGCATTTTCTCTAATTTTTTCATTCGATTTTGTTCACATAAAGACGCAACAGGTATGTGGAGATCAGTACTTGTTCTATTAGCTTTTGTATTGCATTGAATTAAATGCAAGGGGTGTTATTGTATTGTGCTGTTGTCATTTCAAATAATTGAAAACGTTTTTATCCAATCAGATTTAACCTTGGACATTTTATGCATCAATAAAATGTAGCCGTGATTTTGTTCTATTATTATTTTTTATTTTTTTTTCTCTTTTTTTTAATTGTTTACAATATGAATCATTGATACATATTATTAAATCCACAAAGGAATATGACCAAACTGAACAGCAGTTGTATTAGCAATATTTATTGTAAATGGGAAATAGAAGTTGCATGATTGTTGATAAAGATAGGGCAGAGAACAAAGCCACGCTAAAATGATGAGCAGAGTTGAATAAATTTAGTTGACAAGAAACGGCTGAACGCCGAAACGGCTGAAATCAAGAAATATCATGTATGCACCAGGAATGATATGTAGTATGTTTTACCACTGTCTGTGACCACAGTTTTATCACAGTATGATAACATCCAGGCCGTAAACACACTCAACCACTGTGACCACAACATAAGTACAGGTTATAGGAGTAGCTTTTGACAACACACACATGTTCGATATCCACATCTTTCACATTCACATCCACCGCCTTTGGTGCATTGGTCACATAAGGAAATACCTCAACAATGACTCTCGTTGGAATTTAATTCAACACTCTCTGTCTGTTGAAATTCACTTTTATGTGACTTTCAGAAAATAGCATTAATTTACTTCAAAGAACTCGAAACACGACTGCTAGAATCATCACTCGTACTGGAAAATCAGAGGATATGTTCAAAGTTCTAGAAAAAAACTGCATTGCAGAATTGAGTACAACATTATTGAGGGGGGCAAGGGTATTTTCGTTCAACGTAATTGCAATATATTTTTGTTCGTGCAACGTAAAGTGAAAAAAATAAATTCCGTAATTCTGTAATCACAGGCTAGACATACAACGTAATCAATAAAATATTTTTTTCGTACACTGTAAAAATGTGTCGTTTTTCTCGGTACGTACAAGAATTTACATCCAAATAAAAAAAGTCGTAAAGAATAATCCAGGGAAATTACATTTTCGAAACTGTAGAACGACTAGATGACACAATTCAATGCAAAATTTAATTTTCACTGTAAACTGTAAAAACGTCTTATTTTTCCTTGTAAATTGTAAAAAGCCCTTTTTATTTCCCGTAAAACTGTACCAGCTACCCCCATTGCCCCCTCATTATTCTGTTTTCTGTGACCTTCTTCATTTATATATACCTGGTCGTATGTTTCGTTCTTCCAATAAGTACATTCTTTGCAACACCAAATATAAATTTAAATAATATAGGCAGGGACGTACAGTTTCACATGCTGATCCTCAACTTTAGAACACGCTTCTATATACGTCGAGTCACTGATGTTAACTTATTTGGAAAAATACTGAAAACATATTTATTCAACAAAGCCTACAACGTGGAATAACCTTCTCAGCGCCTTTGAACAGAAAACTTAGGTTGGGATCCAGATTATAAATTTTAATGTTGAACACTACGATAAAGATTTTCTGTTTTTCGGCACTCTTCCGTTTCGGGGAGAAAAAAAATGTAACAAAAAAATTCAGAAATATATTAGGAATAATTCATAACGAAATGTATTCCATATGCACCCATAAATAATTATCATAATTACCGATTACACAAGAATATCACATAAAAAAGACAATTTGATATATTTACTATAGTTTTGCTTTTTATTTGTCTTGAATTATGACTAAATGAAATTACACAATTTGTAGCGTGTTCAACAACACATGAACAATAATTTTAAAAGGCGGTGGTCGTCGCGCAGCGCGTATTCGAATTTATCTTAAACAAATAATGTATTTTACACGCGTTGTATACATCGCTATGAATTTTACATCGAACAGAACATGGCGCGACGACACCGCCCTTGAATAAATATGATTTACTTGGTAAAATATACTGTATTTTTCTGCATAAAAACGAAGGAATTGCACAATGTCCAAAACGGAAAGTCTTTATCACAGTGTTATTGATTGATTGACTGATTAGGGCAGCTACTTCAGTTAAAACCAAGGCTAACAGCGCAACCTCAGCTTGAAATCATTATACATCACCGCATTTGTCGATTGTCATCTGTATTTCTTGTATATTATGTACTGACCTACATGTACTGTCAGTGTTATGGTTGATCAGGTTATTTTTATTGTTTACTTTGTCATGGGTATGGTCGGATTGGTACATTTTGGTAGATAAAGTGTTATTTAATTCCTACTGCAAAATGTCCATAGTGTAAACTTATTTTAAATAAAATATAGCAGTATTATGTGTGTAAAATAGCATCAACCTGTTTTATACAGTCATATCATAGTTGTTTTACACCGGGCGCTGTTTTGAAAAGAATGTGTCACGTTTATTTCCTGTTTTTTTGATAAATGTTAAGATATCGCGAAGTTGTACGCTGAATTAAAGCAATGTGTAACTTACAGAATCAGGCACACTTTATTGATAATATGTTATTTACCACCGTCATATCACACCAGTTAGTAGCACGAATATATATGAATTATTTATTTATTGAGTTTTGCTTGTGGGGAAGGCAGACACGATCATATAAACACATATTAATTGATAGTTGTATTTTGTAAGCATCAAACAACATTAATAAATTACACACACATAAAATACTAAGGTACACTTGTAGGCCTCACCCAACAGATATGGTTTGGTACAAGAATAATAATAGCATTCTCGACAGGGTTAATGTTTGATCACTATAAGTATATACTATCGGCACATGTTGCTAACCTACGATAGCGAATAGTTTTCATTCAGCATTTACTAGAAAAACGCATACTTCCACTTTTTATCTGGGGAGACTGCAGCGTGTATGACAAAAAATAGTTCAGCTCAGTTTCTTAGGCAAACCTCGGTTGACATGTGTCTCATGTACATCGAACACAATCTAATGTATATAACAAATTGTATGTGAGTCTAAATATTTTAACTTCACCTAGTAATTAGCACATTTGAATATAAAATGCTGTTTCTATTTAATAATAATTTTTATACATATCAAAGCATTGTAGTTAACATAACTATTATTATGATGGTAAGAAAAACTTAATATATACCTGTACATATTATAAATTGAAATAAAAAACAATGGTTTAATGTTTTAAAGGTAAATTATTATCTAATATTAGTTTTTATATGAACGTTCTTTTGGCATAAACACGTCACTAGCAGACCATTAATATATACTAACGCCGCGGCAATTCACCGAGAAAAGATTCGTCAAATTAGACTTTCGATTCTTCGGTAAGGTCCTCATCCAATCTCGGGTTAGTTCGTCGTGCCTGTGAGCAGGGAAAATATACAGCAAGTTAGACTGCACTGCAAGTATTGAAAAAAAAACTAACGAGTAACAAGTTATACTGATGTGGGAACAGCAGTCGTTTGTGTTATTTTCTTCTTTGATGGGCAATAATTATATATCGATAACACACAGATGTTATAATTTCTATAACGTGACTTACTGTCAAGAATAGCGTATTTATTGCTTTGGACTTCTCTTTTGCTTCTCGTGCCTTCCTTTCACGCCCTTTCTTCCGTTTACCGCGGTATTCATCAATGG